AAATTGATTTGTATCGAAATATATGCATATATATATATAGATATATATATATATACCATATAGTCACGAGACAGATATGCTATGTGGATAATGTGAATAGTAGCATATTTATGTTGACTCTATCAAAATCGCGCTCCCAGCGGCACAAATAATTTCGTTCTCCGAGTTCGGGTATTGCTAGTGAAGGTGTGTAACTGTGCAGTTAGTTTACTGACCCATATCTGGTCATTCCAGACTACTTACTTATAGCTATGAATTTCACATACCGAACTCCGAGTAATCGTTTGTTCGAATTCAGCAATTCTTTCCTTGACATTCAGGCAGGTCTCCTCATCCGAAGAGGCTTCCTCTTCGTCCATCGCGGCTCTATGCTCAGCTACACTTTCTAAATGTCGTATTTCTGCATTAATTTCTAGACTCCCTTTGTTACTTGTAGCTTCAATTAGTTCGTCGTCAATACGCTTTGAAGATAGCGTAGTGGGAACACAATTTTGTCTCTTCCCGGCGGACAAACATACGAGGTATTTATAACTATATATTCATCATCGCAGTACCCCATCAGAAAGAAAAAAAATGGAATCAGCAGCGGTTCGGACTATCGGTTCATCACAGTATTTTCATTTGTCATGGTTATCGCTGCTATGGGGCTGCATATTCTCTTTTTTCTTTTCTTTTTTTCAATGGCCAATGGGCGGCTTGTCCTACAGGCCTGAGGGCAGGCTGAGGCCTACAGTCTACACTCTATAGTAGAGGCTCTATTAAATAGCTACACAGTAGCCCTTTTTTAATTGTTCTACTCGTTATTTTTGTTCGCAACCTATCAGCATTCAGCGGACAGTTGGATGACCACTGATGAGTCATAGTCCCTCTGGGGTCCGGCCCCAGTCACAGTGGCCCAGTCCGACTCCAGACTCCAGTGTCCATAGTCCACACTCTGCAGGCCGCAGGGTGCACACCCCAAGGGCCAAGGGCCCAATGAATATTGGGGCCCAATTTTTAAAAACGGTACAACACTCCACACAACAACAAGAGAGGTGTACTGTGGACTGTCAGTTCCAGAGTCCAGACTGCCAGTATACAAAAAGATTAAAAAAATACATCCCATACAGCGTATAAAAAAGTCAACGTAAAACTACGCGTCATAAATTCATAAATTTATACGTACTTTTGCACAGAATTTACCGTATTATATTTAGCTAAAAAGAAACGTATACACTAGAGGCTGGTACATGATGTAGTATTTATTTTTTTGAAATACATGACCCGGGAACGAACCCAAGAGTCCAAGTCCCAAGACATTATAACGCACGAAAACGTAGCACGCTTTATGCTAAACGCATTCACTTGAAAGCAGTGTTTACGATATACGGATTGAAGCCTGTATGTATGTATAAGTGTCTATATCCAGATGACCGGCATAATATACCACCGGCACTTACTGTGTATGTGACTACATTTTATATTTATTTATAACCGCTATGTGTGTAAAAACCTCTGGGAATCGGGCGGGACTACGGGAGTCAATGACATGACGTAAAAACTAAATATATATATTACTTTTACTTGGAAACCTACACAGGTGACAGGACATAATCCGATAAGAGGTCTGATATATTTATCATACTGGGGCGAACGGTTACATGTTAGCAGTGTCTCCGTAGTCCATATCTACTGTTGATACATTTGTGTTCGAGATCTTGTAAAATCTACAATTAAATCAAAGTACTGTCGACAAACAACTAGCGATCCTCAGATACAGAATTATGACCACTTTCACCGGTGGTGTACAGAGACCAACTCGTACACTTCCACCTGGTTGTAAGGGACCTGTTTGTGCATCGCTACACTTATCTGTTAGTAGACTAGTTTTAACCAAAGATGTAGGACCACGTACACTAATACCCGCTGCATGTGTACTTGTACATTGGTACGACGAGGAGAAGTATGCAGCTACTGAGACACCACTACGACTACTCCCTGTGTGTTCGTATGCAGCAAAGGAACGCACAGCTAGGTCAGCGAGTACAAATATAAAATCTATCCATCCTACTAACAGTTCGTCACCGGATCGTGTAAGCGCGTACAACCCTCTCCGCTACACACATACCTACCAAATATTATGCAATACGGAAGGCTTTACGTCGTATTTGAGTAAGCATGGCGGTTGGGAGCTTAAGGTGAATGATCAGGTATCGGGGAAACCGATTGGCGTTGTACGCATACCTGGACTGAGCACTTTAACAACCCTTTCGCCTCTGATAAAGCACTATGCTGTGCGTACTGCAGACCGTACTAAAGTGGGAGAACTCACGGTCGCATTGCACTATCAGCCGGTGTCCCCACCACGCACACGCAGAGCTCACAAGAAGCATACGAATAAGGATGATGGCAACGAAGTCGACAATAGTGCACGCAGCAAGTCGGACGCAAACGATATTAGCCATAATACTGCGAAAGAGGATCTTGACAGTTCCGAGAATTGGAAAACGCCCGCGTGTGTAGCACGTGACGCCAGATATATAAAGTTCAGGGACCGGGACCGGTGGCGGATTTCGCCTATAGCTTCGTCGCAGACGCAGGATTCAGATAGTAGCGTGGAACCAAACATAGATAGGAAAAATGACAAAGATAAGCACTCAAGAAATAGCGACAGAGCTCGAGAGGAAAGACCGAGAAGAAGTGGGCGTGAAGCACACAATGGGCGCACTGAGTCGACAATTCCCCACTTTGGGCCGTCGAGAGTATACAACAGCACATATGCACAACGGTCTCCACATACGCAGAGCTACTCACGACAGCATCCACCCAATGTGCTGGACAATGACGATGGTCTGTTGAGAGATGTGTTAAAACACTTCCTGAGAAACAGCTGGCCCAGGAACGAGAGATCGGAGTACGATGCGTATGGCTTAGGATCACATAGAGACGGCTATAACTACAAGCAATGTAATGATGATAAAGATACAGGAAAGAGTTATGGTTATGATAACCAACGAATGTCATCCCAGTTCACGTGTCGTAGACCTCCATACGAGCCGAATACAGGTACAGATATACACGGCAATGTATACGAGCGCTACAGATATCCTAGTCATGCAGGCAGTAGGGTCAGTCAGCAAGTTTGGGTAGGCTTTGGTCTGTGTAACCAGCCACGATGCACGTGTATGCACGACCTTCTGAAGACAAGTAAGGTGCGTGTGCACCTGGAAGACACTTTTGCCTACAGGACAGATGTATGCTTAGTCAAGCCGCTGATCTGTTTATTCCAGGTGGAACGGCACGAATTGGCTGCCTTAGCGGGTAGAGATGAAAATGTACTAATTCCTATCGTATTTACCAAGGAGGGCAGCAGCCGTGGTGGACGCAGCGACAGTGAAGGAGAAGTTGTGCGTAATATTGCGAAGACCAAGGAAAGAAGTAGTCAGACCGTGGGTGTAGCTAAAGTAGATATACTCGGGCTGTGCCAGTCTATGTGTGCACCCGGAGATGTAGATGCCACCCAGCCCACCACTTTATACAATGTACACTCGCCCAAATCCGGTAAGAGCAAGGCACGTATACATGTCTGCACTGCCGCGGGTTCGTATGCGCATGTGATGCGTGTGTTGTACCAGACGAGTGACGTGGCTTCATCAGATCCACAGACATCCTCGCACGCAAAGACCACTGGAGATAGTAATAGCACTGATGGGGGGTATAGTAAGGGTGCGCATACGTCTACCAGAAGCGATGGTATGGGCAGCGAGGAATCCCGCTGGGCACGACCGACGAATCAAACCGCGGGTAAACCCGGGATTGGAGATCCGGCAGTAAATGATCGCCAGTGTTCCAGGTGTGTTGCGCGTGATTGTTTGTGGTTTTAGTATGCGGAGCAGTATGTATAAGTATAGCGTGTAGGCGATGTACACTGAATGTGCTGTTGTCATTGCACATTATAAGTATTTGAAAGTGCCACTTATATAGTATGTACAAACATGTTTGACGAATCCAAGGTGATGTCATGCTGTGGCGATAAGTTTACTTGGGCTGCGATATAAACACTCCGACATACGTCAATGTATGACTTGTATCTGCCTGGCTAAGCAAACGATAATAACGCATAGAATCGCTTGAAGTAGTCCTGATTTCCGTAATATTAGAGGGCTAAAATCATCTCGCACTGAAGCGACAACAGATAAGTACTTGAAAGTGTCACTTGTATAATATGTGCAAACTTGTGTGGCGAATCTGTGGTGATGTCATTTCGTGCCGATATATTCACACGGGCTGCGATATAAACGCTTCAACATGACTTGTATCTCCTGGTTAGCCAATCGTTAGTATTGTATAGTATTTTTGCAGTAGTCTTGAATTCCGGGACATTAGAACGCTAAATCCATCTCACACTGAAGTGACAACGGAGAATGTCTTGTGTCATTCAGGATCGACACTTCCGTGCGTCTACGCTATTCGTTTCTAGGACTTTGCTGGTTTATACACGAATACGAATATGCCATTTGTTATCATAGACACTCACGTCACGTCATAATTCGGCCTGCAGCAATCCTTCCGTGTCCGGCGTTCGATTGGTAATCTCTGCAATCAGCCCCATCACCGGTGCCCCCTTAAATGCCAAAGCTTGTTTTGCATCTACAGACGAATACTTACTCAAGTACAGATTTCCCTTCACCAAAGATCATGAGGTTACCACCACGGGCCTCTCAGTGAGTGCCAATGATAGTTCAGCCGACGGGGGTGCACGGAAAGCCACTCCATTGATCCACATACACGCACACTCGATCGTGGTAACGGATGCACAGCTCAAGGACACGATGGTGAGTTTTAGTTTAGTGGCTATGCTGCTACTTATTCTTTTTTTATTTAAGTGGGTATAATACCATGCTGCTTTCTATGAGTGAAACTCGCATCGGTCAATATACCTCATTCTTCCACAAATCGTGGCGCGTGAAAAAGAAGAGTTTTATTTTCGTATTTAACACCAACTATTCAATTGGAACAGTAAGGTCCGGGCAGATTTTCTATTGAAAATTTCGTTGTACTCGAAACAAACAATATGTTCTTTGGTACGTACACATACATGCGAGTTTTTCTAACTGCTTTATACACCGTCATATTGATACATTTATAGGGACAAAGCTTAGTGTTCCGTATGTGGCGACGTCACTCCATTGACAACACTGGGTGTCAAGAAGACCATTTCATCGGCTCTGTCATAGTCGATCTGTCAGGCCTGTCTCTTGGTATCGACGAAATTTCCGGTTGGTATAATCTTTGTGGCGAACATTGCCACGTCCTCGGCCAACTCAAGGTGTGTAGTTGTGGATTCTCAACTCTGAGCTCGCTTCTTCACTTCTTTCTTTTGATATTAGCCATGTGAATTGGCTGCACGTCAGATTTGCGCGATCACATATACTGGTCGTAGTTTGTGTTAATTGTTGTGAGTTGTCATTAGGTTGTTTGTGCCTCTGAACTACGACAAGTTTATTTTCATTTGGATATGCTCCGATCACAGTCTCATATAATTCACTCCTGTGCACACGCCAGATCCACTTCCATCCGCGATATACTTCGATGACACACCTATCCGTCCCTTCGAACCTACAAACATCCGTTGCTGGCAACAACAGCATATCCAACCACCGCTACAGTCAATCCAATATACAAAATCAGTACAAAACACAAAACCAGCACAGCACACATAGTCAACTGCCAAACACTGCCACATCATCAATCGATACACGGGCCGCCATGGGCGACTTTGATGTCGCCCCTCCGTCCTCCCTGTCGCACTTGTACGCCTCCATCTCGGTCAAGTCTGAGTCATTCTTGGCGCAGCAACTGCTTAATAATATGGACGATTTAGATAAGATGAACAAGGCACTGGTAGCTTTAGAATAAATTTACATTGCCAACAAATGTAAAATAAATTTCAAACGGTTACCCATAAAACTCCCTGCCCTCCGCAGCACCATACACAATACGTGTACTGATATAGCATACGGTCTCGTTTGGAGTGTCCTCAGTGGGTATCGATTGGATTATTTTCCTATTGGTGGGGCTGCACGCCAGTAACATCATTATATCTATTTAGATGCCACCTTATAATTCTCGTTCTAGTGATACAGTTGTGCGAGTCGACAAGGAAGTCATGGAAAGGATCAACAAATTCGTTCCTGAGCGAGCATTGAAAACAGACTTTATCGATATCATGCTACAAGAAAGAAATGATCAACAGTAGAACCGCTCAGAATACGAAAATTGTCATTTAACTTCAATTTCTAAAACCTAAGACGAGGTACAAATGTAGCGCAATTGACCGAGCTCGTCGCGATATGATACAAACACTTCAAGATCGATTGTATCAAATCTGTTCTCGTAAGTATAGTGCCACCGCCTCGGCCTGCTCGATGCCCACTCTCATCAGGAATGCCGAGCTTCTGCCGTAACTTTTGTTACCCAGCACAAAGAAGTTAGGTTCCGGCGTCAGCAAACTATCAATTCCTGGGGTAGCCTGTGTTAGACAGTCACCCGAAGCTCCCAGAAGCGTTGCAGCCAACGCCATCGGACCCTCAGTAGCGTAGCATGTGTGTACTTGAAGCTCGGAATGTATGGATAGATCCGGGCGCATGCCCACGTTGGACACGAGATAGTCTACATCTAGTTTGTGCACTGGTAGCCGCTCGGCTGTGGGATCGGTGGCGTCTATGGTCAGTGTGATTGTAGGCGTGCTACCATTGGTGCTCTCATTGAGGGTGGCATATGTGATGGTGCAATTGTCTATATGGGCTACCTTGTTCTCCATCCCAGATCCATCCCCTTCGGGCTCCGGGTTTCTGCTTACTAATTCGTTAGCCATCTCACATAGCGCCGCTCTGTTCTGAAGTGCGTCCCCTTCGAGTACCCGATACAACTGACCACTTTTACCGAGCACTCTCCTGGTAAGCCAGTATATCTGTTGCACAGTTGGCGAATCAATCAGATTTCGCACAGATGTGGCTGCAGAATACCCGGAACCTATCACAGCCACGCGCTTGCCCTTCACCTCGCCCACCTGTGGTATCAGTCTAGTGAAGAAGCTCCCACTGTCCTTATCCCGGGACAATTGCTTCTCGCCGATTGCAGGCATCCCACCCTCACCAAACCATGAATAGTCAGATCGAGTGCCTGTACAATCAAGCACAGCGTCTACGTCTCTGAAACAAAATTCATCACCCACAGATTCTTTCTTGCCGCCAAGAGGTATCCTCGTACATAATATATTAAACTTGCCCTTGGAACGTGCTTCCTTGCCCATGTCTCGCTTCAGTAGCCCAGATCGGCCCACTGATACCACCCGAGTCCGCAAGTGCAGCTGCACGTTATCGCACTTTACGAGTGCCTTCGCAACCGGTTCGAGATACTGATCGATGTACTCTCCCCCTGTCACACACTTGTCACCATCATAACCTTCGGCGTCCTGTCCATCAGATCGTAGTACTTCTCGGGACGAAGTGGATGTGTTGTACTTCCAGGGCGAAAACAAACGCACATGCGGCCAATTTTGTCGGATGTTCGACGCGATTGTATCTCCGGCTTCGAGTATAATTATTTCGCTAATATTAGGCAGACTCCTCTGCAAAGCGCTGGCACACTCAATTCCAATTGGACCAGCTCCGAGAATTGCCACCCTCTGGGTATGCGTATCTGCGTTGGTCATACTTTTCGTCATCAACAGCTGCGAGTGGTACGAAAACAATATGAAAGATACTTGTGGTCAACCATAGTACACGAGTACATTCCATTCTATGCACACTTATTGTCCGTCTAAGTAGTATCGGAAGAAAAGGATATTTCGAATCTGGCTCGAGAAGGTGTTACATACATTTGAGATATGCGAGATATTACCGTACGCATCACATGTACATATTTGGTACGACTTTACGAGAACAATTATTAACAAGACTGCGTTGACGGTATATGCGGATATGTACACCTAGACATTTACTTACATTCATAGAGGCAATTAAATATTGACGATTGTCTCGATACCTGGTACTGCGTAGGAATTTGTGATGTTTTAGTCAATTACTAGCAGAAGTATTGGATTGTATGCATATATGTTCGCAATGCCTATTGCTTATATACCCGTTTAACTGTTCTGCATGAAGCTGTATTTATTTCCAGAGTTGGCCTCTGCACTAGAGAAGTATAAATGGTTCTCGTTCATATCCTCTTCAGTACGGATGTGATGCACAAAAAACTTGGGACGAACTTCCAGACTCTTCCATGGCCCTCTGGATTTTGCCGTTGTGATTTTTTCTGTTGAGATTATGTACTTGTGAGAATGAGGCTATGATTTCAGATTTTATATAGATTTTCTTTGATGACACAAAATTGAAACTTACCTTTTCAAGAACATTCTGGACAGTGACCAGAGTGTACAGAGTACAGACCGTCTCCCTGCGGCCTGCGGCCCTGCGACCTTGCCTCTCGTCAAATTGAAATGACTGATGATCATGACTTCATGTGAGTTGTCACTACTCGTTTTTGAGATTTGTTTCAGAAATACAGAGTTTCGGATTTTTATTCGCTGTCATACATGACAAACCAATACTTTAAATATATAAAATACTGAAAGAAATTTAACGGAAACGCATATTTATTCAATTTTTAAAAATATTGTACAGTAAGTTGCACCACTGTTTGACTGTTTTCTATAAAAAAGAACTTTATGTAGCGCGGGTCTTTTAAAAATATTGTACAGTAAGTTGCACCACTGTTTGACTGTTTTCTATAAAAAAAGAACTTTATGTAGCGCGGGTCTTTTGGCGCCGAATTTTGAATAAAGGAACGATACATGCACCCTATTAACCTATTTACACATATAATTACTGTATGGCTATACTTTTTTAATAAAACAAATAACAAAAATTAAAAAGTTAAACAGAAACGCTTTTATAAAATATTTAAAAAACCGTTCTTCTGAAACCGTTTTAAACTTTTAAACGGGAAACGGTTTGAGATTGCGGTGAACAGTGAGCACTGATATCTGAGTGCCTGTGAGTCACAACTCACCAGTGATTTATCCCAAAAAAAAAAAGGTATAACTACAGACTACAGAGACACTGGTGCTGACTGGACAGTGGAGCCCTTGAGTGTGGAGTGCATACGGGACAGTGGACACGCACAGTCGCACAGTCACAGTGTCACCCACAAGAGGTCACAGTGTGTCTGCATTCTGCAACTCGGCAGTCTGCAGTCTGCACTGTATCTGAGACTGAGAGTCTGAAGTGTGAACTCTGGAGTATCAACTCTTGCACAAGAAGTCTAGACTGAGAACTCTCTGACTGTGTCAGTGTGACTGTCGGTCTGATTGTTTGTGTTTTTTTGGTGTTTTTAAAAATCAAAACAAAGAGTTGAATCAAGAGACCTGAAAACAGTTGAAACTTCTTTGAGACTTTGAGTGGATTCGAGACTCTGCAATGTATTTATTTTTATTTTTAAACAAAAGAGTTTGTCAGTTCGAGACTTTATTTTTATTTTTTACATTTGTTTATATTATATTTTTACAAAATAAATAAACAAAAACACCTTTTGAATTTGTTGGAGAAGTCCATCAGTGGTCAGTATTTACAAATTAGATGCAGTACTGAATAGTGGATACTGTTCACTGTGATGACTGACGAGTGACGAGTGATAAGTGATCAGTGATCAGTCTGATCAGTCTGATCAATCCGTGACTCCTTGTGGCATGTGTCGCACTGAGTGTCGGATTCTCTCCAGAACAAGTTCTGCATACTTTACTCTGAGAGCACAAAAGACAAAATAGTCTTGCTTTTACATGCCAAGAAGTACTAGAACCTCAGGTGAGAGAGGTTATTTTTTTAAACCCAAAATGAGTAAAGTCTGTTAAAAACTATAAACTATTCAATATTTATAGGGTTTAGGGTTTACTGTATACAAATTACACATATGTAGCCTAAAAAGAACAAATTACAAAATGAAATGCGACTTCATCAACATAAATAAGGAATCTTTTTTTATGCTCTTGTTTTCTTCCTCACAAATATTTTATACAAAAATATTGTTTTGTGAGTAAAGAGTGGACATTAGCTTCCATTTCTATTGACTACCCAAAATAAAGTATAAATTGATTGAGCTACATACATCATCGCGAATTCGCGATACAAATAAAAAACTTGCTCGAGACGATTATGTCAAAATAAAATCTGATCTCGCACATAAAACGCCGCCATGTGTTTTTTTCTCTACTAGGGGTAGTCATATCAAACAGCAGCCACTCAAAGCACCCATATGCAGCCAAAGTCATAGACTCTTTAGCATGCGTCCCCTCTTGTGTGAAGCTCGGATGTATGGGGAAATCCGGACACATGCACACAATGGGTTTCATCTAGTTAATGCGCTGGAAGCTGCTCGGCTGTGGGCTGATACGTTGAAATAACGATTGTTAAGACAGCGTCACAGCGGTCAATTACTCTCCCGGAAGGATTGGATATCTTCTACTGATATACTCTTGTTTGTTCGCAATGCTCATTACGTTATATTCTTCTTCACCCACATGAAGAGATGTCAATTCCCATCCATCATATCCTCTCAAAATTAACATGTGCACCACTTAAAATTCAGGGCAAATTGCCAGACTCTTGCGTGGCCCTCTAGATTTTGTTGCGATCAAATATACATATTCTGATATTCTTCTGCTGATCTGGTGGTCTCTTTTATGTTTCTTTACTTTTCTTCTGTTGTTGTTCGCTTCTTCTCTTCGTGCTCGAGATGAGGAGAAACAGATGCGCCTGCCCTTTGTTGTCTACTTGCCTCTCTTCTTTTCTTAAATTGTTGTGGAACACTAGCGCGGCAGCGCTCCTAGAGCCTTTGACTCTTCAAGTCTTCACCCTTCTACTTCTGAAATTCCGAGTCTCTGACTGTCGCATACATACTCATCAAGTCTTCTTTCCACTCTCCACTCCCCACTCCCCATTCTCCACTCTCCACTCTCCACTCTCCACTCTCTACTCTCTACTCTCCACTCTCCACTCTCCACTCTCCACTCTCCCAAGTGACAGTCTCCAGTTATCCACTCTCCACTCTCCCCAGTGACAGTCTCCAGTTGTCCACTCTCCAGTCTTTCTGACTTTCTTTCTCTGTTATTTAAAAATAGATTCAAGATTGTAATGTTATACATATGTTTACTTATTTTTATGAGAATATATATGTATAAAACTATTTTACTCTATAGTTGGAGTTCAACCACATCCACTCGTCCAGTTATAAATTACAATAATGTACATAGGTGGATACCTTTTACTCTTGAGTCTGTACCCTGGAGTATGTGGCCCTCCGGGCAGCTTGCTGGACTCTGGACTCTGGAGTCCTGGACATTCTATTTTCAGTACATATGGATTATGGTGACCGTGGGGCGTGGGGCGTGGGGCGTGGGTGTGTACACACTGTGTATGTAAATATTTACTATTAGTATTTATTTTGACCACATAATGTATTGGACTATTGGCCAATGTCCCCATAATCATATTTACTTTGTCCTACAAAACTGTCCCTGAATTTTTCGGCTGCGTATTTCAGAGTCCAGACTCTGGGTCCTGGGTCCTGGATTCAGGACTTCAGAAGTTCAGAAGTGCAGGGCCAGGGTCCTCAGACTCCACACTCATCAAAGACGTTCCTTGTAAATATTTTCATAGCCTTCTAAATGTATAATTTAGAAGGCTATGATATTTTGGTTTGTTTGTTTTTAAATTTTTTTTAAATATGGGTTTGTTTTTTAAAAAGCAAAAACAAAACTAACCCAACCATAGCCTTCTAAATTATACAAACCAACGCAACAACAAATCCTCTTTTTTTTTAATAATAATATGAAGTCTCCCACCGGTCCCTGTGTCCCTGTCCTCTCTCTCTGAGAGCAGTACCAGGCCAGTGGCCTTAGAGAGAGACTCTCCAGAGGAGTCCAGGGCGGTCCAGGCCGCAGGGCCCATACCCGGTACCCCTCAGAGGACCCGGAGCCCCAGACTCAGGTCTCAGAGGTTCTCGTGAGTCGTGAGTCGTGAGTCTTTTGTTGGCTTCTTACAATGCTAGAGTTGTTTTTTTTTAATTTTGCCAGTTTTTCTCTCTCTCTCTACTCTAAATATAGTAGTAGAGTCTCTCTGGGGGATTGGCCCCTGGGCCCCTGGGGGCTGGGGCGGACAATCGTGAGACGTGAAGTACAGCAAAAATATTTTTACATGTTACCCCCCTGTGTGAAACTGTGTATATTGTTTTTTGTTTAGAAAATATGTTTTAAAAAACACAATAAATATGGAGTAGAGCGTGTGAGAGTCTCAGAGAGAGCAACTAAATACATATGTAAATAGAGAGTGTTTATTTTTCCGAAGGTAGAAATACGATTGCTGGCTATTTTTAGAGACTCATATCAGAATTCAGAAGATCTATAAGAAGGGAAGAAGCGCGGTAGTGTAAATACATATTTACACATATATTTATAAATAAATAGTCTAAAAATAAAAATCAACAATGTTTTTGTAAATACAATTTATAAATAATATAGTGACAATCAATAATGACCACGGGGTTTTCCAACATGACTTATTTTCAAATCACTATTAAAAAAAATACCCATAAATGTACCTATTGCTGTAGGTGTTCACACTTGTTGTCTGATCGGCATTGATTTATTGATTGTTGTCTCTGCCAATACTTTGATATCAGTTTGAATATGGTTAAAACTAAAGCCCCGTATGGGTCCTGGACATCCCCGGTCACTAGTAAGTTGGTTACCGAGAGTGGGGTCAGTCTCGGTGATTTACAATTGGACTTAAATAGCAGTCACAGTACAAGTACAGGACCCGAGTTGGCCTATTGGGTAGAGAGACGCACCGACGGACGGTCTACTATATGCAGCAGGTCAGTTCTGTTTCAATTTCGGTTTGTTTGATGTATTTTTACATGGACATAAATGCCAGGATTTTGGCGAATACATATATGCCTTGTGCTGTACATACATAAGCCCTATAGTGTTAGTTGTGTTGTAGGATCAGTACAACTCTCGATGTTCAAACAATGAATTTATTTGTCCTAAGTGATTTGTAGAGCTTAAATTTAATTGGCATGAGGTTCATTATGATTGCTTGTAATGTACTCGAATAGTGAACTGGTACAGAGAGATGTTTGTCCCTGTGAATCAAATAACACGTGCTAGAAATGAAAATAATTACATCTCTAAATTCGTTGTGTATATATAATCGTCTGGTGTCAGGAACTGTGTCTTCTCTCGCACTTCTAAGACAATCAGTGTCAATTGTCACGTAGGACACGTTGCTGCTTGCTGAAGGTGATAATCTGACAATTTAATAGAGGCGAGATTGCAGTTACCATGACAAGCCAAGTACATGACTTATGTGCTATAGACTCTCAATGTTTACTTTAGTGATAGCTGTGTACTCTTGGGTTCGTAGTTTGACTGAATGTCTTGACTCATGTGTAAGTATTCTTTGCAAAAAATATGAGCTTTAGGTACAGCATTATCCGCTGAACGCGTTTGTATGATCACGAAAGTGTTCACAGGCGACTACGCAGTGCCGTCACTTTAAGTCTGTTCACGGATGAAATACATAGCGAATCCATTCTCATTAATCATTAATGGCGAGTGGATACATGCAATCTTGAGTGAATCCCCAAGGTGTGAATACTTTTTCACGGCATTTCGACAGTTTCTTTTTTAAGTTGTAGTGCCGATGTACTGCTGCTAAGTGGCCTAGTGCCACACCTGCAACATCGGAAATTGATTATAGATTCTCGACATTATATTTTCGTCTCGAATCACCGCTTTGACAAAACTTCTAAAGGACACTCACACGCTCTCTCTATAACATCAAGCAAATAAGTATCTTGCACTTCACAGACGTTTTATTCTCAAACTAGTCTTATCGTGTCTCAATTGCAGTGCTGGAGGGCAGGAAGTAACGGATTGGACAATTCCGGCACACAGCGTTGCCTCCAAGGTGCACGAGTACGGCGGTGGCGCCTTCTTAGTCTACAATGGGACCGTATACTATGTAAACAAGGATGACCAGTACATGTACATGCAGTCTGCCCCTCTCGAGGAGCCTGTACTTCTGGGATCCCATGGAAGATACGCAGACGGTAGTGTCGATCTCAAACGGGGGAATGTGTTCTGTGTGCACGAGGACCATGCTGCCGGCGAAGGAGAAGGTCCGGCAAAATTCACCAACAATCCCATCACATCGATTGTCAGTCTGGATGTGAAGTCTAAAACTCAGAAGATTGCTGTGACTGGTGCAGACTTCTATGGATCGCCGAGAGTGTCCCCGGATGGGAAGCAACTGGCGTGGGTGCAGTGGAACCACCCAAATATGCCGGTATGTGAGTAGAAGAAAAATATGTGCATGTTTGTGTGGTGTTACGATAATGAGCAAAGTATAATCCGGATGCATGTGTGTGCTCAGAATGTATTAGATATAAAAGTTGTCCCAATTCCATCCCCATCTATAGGTTTAATTTAATTCCAAAACGTATACATTTTTAGTGAATGAATCTCTTGCTACTTCGAATAGGACGTCGGGAAGACAGCGAGGTATCGATCGCGTAAACGGATTCATATAGTGATACACATGATTCTGTGAAACGATTTGCTGGTACAAGTCCAATGCACAACGGACAATTTCGAGCTCTGCAAAAAACTATATCGATTTGATTGCGGCGCATAAACGCAGTTTGAAGTGCTCTAGCATTCACTTCCTTGATATTATCAATCAAGGCTAACAAATATGTATTGTCTTCGACCATGCTCTGTAGTGGACGAGCACTGAGCTGTGGACCGGCAACCTGTCCTCCGATGGTTTGACGGTTCAGCAAGGCTCTCAGAACCGAGTGGCCGGTGGCAACGGTGTCAGCGTGCTGGGTCCCCAATGGGCGAACGATGGTGAGTTTATTAACCTAATTCTCAAGCATCTTTTTTATCTATCTACTTTATATCTCTCACGATGAGTTGGACGATTTAATTAGCCTCGTCAGTTTCAGTCCAAATTAGGTGAGACCACTAAAATATCAAATATCTTTCGCTTAATCGTTCAAAATCTCGCCGATGGAAAGATGCAAGATGCAAGTTCATCACTCACTATGTGTCTAACACGAAGTCCTGATTTATACGTCATTGTTTTATCAGGGTCGCTATTCTGGTTGAGTGACGAAAGCGGTTACTATCATCTGTACTACGGCGACCAGTGGAGTGGGTTGGAAGGGGACGGCGATACCAATGTAATCACAGAGTTGATGACTACGGATTGCGCCAGGGCGGCGTGGCAATTTGGTCACGATCACTTTGCTATATCCACTAATAACAAGTATGTAGATAGCTCTGATGCTTGAAATCAGCATCAGTTTTGCATTTTATGAGTTTGTGTTATGGGGTGCGGGTAGTGATAGTTAACGATGTGCACAGGCTATTAGTGAGTGCTGCCTCGCATATCAATATCTTTTGTATTTGATATGAAGTTTGCTTGATTATTCGGCTATTCTGGGCTGTTTCGGTCTGTTCTTATTGCATGTAAGTTCACCCATAATGGTGTTATTGTGATTTCGTACTCACGATGCAGGAAGCGCTCGTACATATCGAGTAGATGGAGCTGTGATGGTGATTCCTTTCCTGTTTTTCTGGATATGCCAAAACCCTACAGAGCAACAGTACAGCACTCGATATCAAGTTTGCGCAAGTCTTTATTACTGCGCGTAGCCTTATCGACCATTTGTCTAGATATACGTCTATTCGACGTACATGCTGGCCATGTAATGTGCATTGCAGATGTTCACAACCATTCAAAATCAATTTTTCATGTACATATCTTGACAGATACATTGTACTGGCTACGAATGATCCCGCGAAAGGGGATAGTCTCATGTTCCTGAAGCGAGGTGATTTGGGAACGCAACCACAGATCATTAAGAGCCCATGGACTACGATCTACGGCATGAAACTCTCGCCGTCTGCAAAGTTATACCTACACGCCGGCCACCAGTCTCATCCAGAGTCGCTAGTCATGCTAGATTTAGTGGGTATGTAGGGTTTGATTACTATTTATGGGTTATTTCCCGTAGGTGTATATTCAATTGCTAATTGCGAATCTATTTATAGACCTTGGTTGCTGCTCGTGCTCTTTTTGCAGCAGGCCTGTACCGGCCGAACGTTTGAGAAACAGGACTCGCGAATGAAGTTTCTAAGTTCCACATATTCTTCAGCGCTATCGCTAGCATTTTTAATATCTTGAACAGAGCTCTTCGAACGTATCTTTCTATCCTTATCGAACAATTTTGAATATATTGCCACATACGAACCCCGATTTTGATATTAGGGGCAAATATTTACCTCGGTACATCTCTCCAAGTATCGAACATTATGCTGACGTTCACATCCCGTGCGATGCAGCGGGTGGCTTCACATCGGCAAAGGCCACTGCTACGCCATCATCGATGAAGGCTGTCACAGAATCACCGCAGAAGAGCTATGGAAGTCGCTTATTCGGATTCTACGAAAGTAAGACCGTATTCTATCGTAGCTCATGTTCCTGCCGGCTATTTTAACTTGGGAATCGATCTTGAGGGTTATGGTCGGTATCGTACGGCCAGTAAACGACGCACCATACACGTGTATTCTGATCCGCAGTCCCACTCCATTCACAGGGAAAGTGAATCAGTTACTAGACACTGTCGATTCCTATACGGAAGGTGGTGTACAAGATGCCATACAGGCTGTGGCTCAGGGGACTGATGTGCTGGTGGATACCTGGTATGTTTCGCATGGGCCGGTTCTAGTATCGTAGCACTGCCATTCATGTTGCGTCTTACGTTTGATCAGCATTTTATATATATTCACGTCTTCAACATCGACTGATCCTGTCCGTTTCTGATTCGCTTTTCTTTTCTCATCAGAGTGTTGTCTCCCCGTGTACAACTTATGATTTAGTTATCAAATCCCATTCACTCAAAAGGGGCAGGCTATTGCGAAATTAAGACGAACATCACCGTAAAATACGCTTTAGTTGTTGAATGTATGAATCTGCAGTCAAAATTACAATTAAGTTTGCCTCTCTACCCTCGAACCTGTTGATCATCCTTGGTATGTAAACCTCATAGGTTTTCTTTTTAGCAAATTTGATGTTTGTGACTCACATCGAATGTGTTTTGGTCGTGTTTATCACTTAACCTTCCTTGTAGGTATGGCGACACTTCAAAGGTACTTCGAAAATCATTAGATATCAAGATCGGAGATGGGTACGTCTGCAGAGCGAGGCATTTTACTTTCCACGCGCATGGACGCGAAGCATACGCATATTACTATGCTCCAACAAATGAGGTATACGCAGTGATGGTTTCGACCTCATGTGTTTCTGATATACATGTTTCCAAAGTCATGGATATATCGGAATTGACATCTAGGTGTCAATTCGGGTGAAAACCCATCTGCTCCCCGACTCTTGCGTATGGTACTGATGAAATTTGTGTGGTGAGTGCATGTCGGAATGCAATACATCTGGGACAAATTATTTTCTCGAATATTCACTGCTGTCACTCCAAATTTATCATCCTTTCTAATATCTCGATTGCAGGACTTCGAGCCAATGGATGGTGAGCTGCCGCCCTTGCTGGTTAAGTGCCACGGTGGACCCACTCAACAGACAAACTCAGTTATCGATCCCAATATTTTGTACTGGACATCAAGGGGTGTGGCTATTGTCGATGTAAATTATAGGTAAGTGTTTATGTGGATTTGTGACGGATCTGATCATGGCGCTGAACTACTTGCAGATGCGTGCCGCAAGCTCAAACAATTCAAAAGAAATGTCACTTGATTATCTGCATAGCATACTGAACCGCGCGAAAATTTTCATCTTATTAGCCTACATCGAATACACCAATTGGGGTATATTACTTATTGAAAAATCGCTCGTCAATTTGAATTGGCTTACAATTCATGTATCGAGAGACACCGTACGTGCTTCATACTTTTTTTTTTTGGAATTCGCCCAGCGGAAGTACGGGGTATGGTAAGAAATACAGAGACCGACTGGCAAAGACCTGGGGAATAGCCGAGGTAGATGATGTTTGTGCGGCTGCAGAGTACTTAGTTAGTAAAGGACGGGCAGATCCTAACAGACTAATGATCGACGGACGAAGTGCAGGTAACATATCAAACGTTTCATACTGTGTATATAGTGGACAAATACTATCTTTTCCTGGTATTTGATCGCTCCATCTGTTGGCTCGGCGGTGTACTCGGCCATTTTGCCGTATCACGGCCATTTCTCTGAAATTGACCCCATCTTGCAGCTTCGAGCTCTTAGAAGATATTCCTGTGCTGCTTGAATGGTAACCACATCCTGTACGTACTCACTGGTTTGTCTCGTCCCTACTATGTGCAGGCGGTTACACCACGCTTGCGTGCTTAACATTTAAAGACACTTTCAAGGCCGGCTGCAGTAAATACGGAGTGTCAGACCTTTCCGTTCTTGCAAAGGAAACACACAAGTTCGAGAGCCGGTATCTTGAGTAAGTTTTCCGAGATCATTCTTTTTCCAATGCCTACTTCATAATAGACGTCCTAAAAACAAATGAGTTTATTTTCCAATGAGATACAGTACCTGTTCTTCCCTCTGGCGTCTGTGACTTATTAAATTTCTAGCACTCAGCTACCCCTCCGTGCCGTTCATATGTTGCTAATATAAACTCACCGGACACCATCATCCCGCAGTTATTTAATTGGGCCCCTCCCGGAGGCGCAGAAGGAATACTATGAGCGATCACCATGTAACAGCGTCGACAAGCTGAACTGTCCGATGATTATCCTACAGGGAACGGCAGACAAAGTGGTGCCTGTGAGCCAAGCGACTATAATGTACGAGGCGGTCAAGGCCAAAGGGATGCCTGTTAGTTTGGTGATGTTCGAGGGAGAGGGGCATGGATTTATTAAACAGGAGAACGTCGAGGTGTGTGGGTTGTTGGAGTGTATTGAAATGAGATATTGGCTAGTTTAAGGAGGTTTATACAGAGAGAATTTGGGACTCGGGACTACACGAATTGGCCTCATAGCCATATATTACTGAACTCGTTCTATTTTTATAACCTAAATCCCTCAAAGCTATATCGAGACCGTTCATTTTCATTTGGGCCACAATCGCAAAATAGCCAATCGCGCTTCAACTTAATAATCCTAGCGGTGTAGAATTTAGCGTCTACTTCAAAAGTCACAACGCAAATCGTTCTGGTTACATTCTTCCTCTCTTATACAGTTGGCTTTGGATGGCGAGTTCTATTTCTACTCTCAGATTTTCGACTGGTCCTTGCCAAAAGGTATGTTAACGCATCCGTGCAAGTGCTGCCTCAAGTACACGCGTGTGTGAAAAAGTTTGAACGTGTAAAGACGCGTCATCTATAGTTCTCAGCCCACACGTTGACTGTGAATATGAGTGAATTCGGTCTCCACTCTTGTTTATATTCATTCACTTTACCTGTTCCTTTTAGTTGGCCAAGGGCTCTAAACTCCTATATACTTGCTTCCGCGTCTGTGGTACCTAAAGCATTACATATCGAAGTCACTCATTTTGTATCGATGCTCTCATTCACCTAACGTTGCAGACTTCCCCACGAATGTTGCCGACAAAGTGATAATTGAACAAGAAGTCGTCGTATGAGGTTTGTTGCCGGATCAAATAGCTGGTCCAGCAGTGTAGTCGGATTGCAACAGGACAATACCTTCGTGTGGATGTACATGGGCGTTATTATCTTAGGTAGAGCTTATACTGATCTGGCAGTCTAGAATAAAGGCGTCAAACCTCTCCATGGACGAACGCATGTGCAATCCTAAACATATCTAGATCGATGCGGATAGAGCTGGACTCTAGTCCCATTAAAGACAGCAATCAAAAATTTGCGTGATTCAGACCATAAATGGCAACATGCTTTATGCAAGGTGCTGTTTAGTTTTATTGCTAGTAGCTTATATCCAAATTAATTAACAGGTCGCGGTTGTATAGTGATCTCACTCATCACTTCTTTGAACTCGAAAGGCGACAGAAAGGCCCAAACCCGCGCAGCACATGTTTCGTCATGAGCACGTTCAACTGAAATTCTACTGCGCATCACCATTCAAGAACTCGTCCAGCATGACCTGGGCTGCCTCGGGTTGATCCAAGGGAACCTGCATGGGAAGAGGTCTGTAGTGAGCGCATGCTACATAGCAGGAAGAATCTATTCTAGACAGATTGTATCATTGATTGACCTCAAGTGCTCTCGGAATTATCCGATACGGTAGTCTTTCGCCATGAACTGATCAGGAATGCATCCGTAGAGCGAGTGTTACTCTATGAATGATAAACAGGAAACTTCGGACATGCAGACTGATTTTTTTCCTAATAAAATGCAAACACAAATAGTAGCATACCATGTGGCCGGCGTCAGCAATGGTCTTGAACATAAAGTTCCTGTACTTGCGGACTGTACCAGACACTTTTCCGTTCACTTTCCAGTCTTTGACCTGTACAATGTGCGTGATGATATCGTTTGATAAGCCATCGAATAAGTTGAACTAGCCGATACTGAATGCCCTCGTGAGTCGAGGATAGCCGCAAACACAAGAACATGTCTAGTGCTGTAATCAAAAGAGATGAATATAGTTAAGAGAAATTATATTCAAACAGGTATGTCGGCAGCACGAACCTCAGCCGCATTGAAGCCATCGTGACCAGACCATGGGAGCGCCAAGGTCCATTCTCGGTTGCCCATCCAGTTGCAGATGTAATCCGCTTCGCCTGTTGAGGTTATTAGAAAGTGAATAAAATCAGTAACTTTACATAGCCTTATGTACGAAATTTTAGTAAAGAGCAAAGATATACACTTTTCAACCACCATCGAGCAAAGCAGAAGATTTCGTACCGCTGTAGCAAACCGAAAGAATGAAATAAGCGAAGCAGAAAGAGCAAGACTATCTATAGCTACTAGCATATCCGACGCTGAGCAATACTGTATTCCGCTCATTATACAATTCACAAGGAGTGTCCCTAGATTAAGCGACATAAATACATGCAGAAGTAAACCAAGCGCGAATCCAAAATGATATTTCTTTCACACATCAAGTCGATGGGAACATACCAGCATAGATCAAGACATCAAGATCATCTTCCAGAAGCATTGTAACGTTCGGCGAGAGATCACGCATGAAATCAGTCTGCAACAAAACAGAAGGTAGTGAATTTCAAGCGCGAATTGCCGCAAAGAGCTGCCCCACGTTACTTCTAATATATAAGTCGCATTTCTGAGTGACAAATATCACTCAATCTGATATCTTGAATCAAACCCATGCAATGAACTACAATGTAACTCTAAGGAAACTTCGATTTTGAAACGCAAATCGATTACCGATTGAAACGCATACGATGGATGCAATTCACCAGCATACAATGATACTGCCTATGACTTCGTTAAAAAACGCATTCAAAAACAACATGATTACATACGATGAAATGCAGATTCACCAGCATATTGCAACTCTGCCATTCCTCGTCACCCTGCACGTGCAACGTCTTTCTGGTGTTGGCATCGTTAAGGAAGTCCGACACAGGCGCGAAGTCATAGCAGAGCGGGGGATGCTCTGTAAGATACAAACATAGGACAGTTGAACACTATATAACAAGGATACGCAGAGAGTTTTATGACGCCGAGCAAAAAGCGAAGCCACAACACCCACCAAGTACAGTGGAATAAAGTCTCTGTAATAATTACGACAACATAGTGCTTGATTGAAACTGTGATTGCTTGCGGTGTGAGGGCAAGACCATCTTGGTCAATCTTGTTGGACGATCTGACGTGAAATCGTGTGTATTCGAATGGAGTTCCTTCGAGTGCAAAGCCCCGTGTAAAATGAATTCACACATACCACATTGTTCGCGCACGTCGTATTGATTGAGACCTGTCGAGAAGTGACAAGAAAGAGCAAAAGATGAGCCATTCAACAGTAAATCAAATGTGCAGAAAATTAGAACTTACTTTCACAAGCAGGCGGTACAAATGCGGAGTTTTACCCGACCACCGTGAACATATGGTCGATAACAAAAAGAAGTTGATAACATAATAGTTTAACTACCTCGAATGGGATACAAACTTACCAGTCAAATCCTGGCAGGACAGACTATACTTATGTCAACGGAAACTTGGGAATCAAAATAAAGAATTGAACTGATGTGACGCTAAAATTTCTTCGGTGGGCCATAAAAATGACTACAACTCACATATATCAATACATTAACTCAAACATATTGTGATTTAACTATACCTTGCAACTTGAGAGGAACCATGAAAGCCATGTTGCAGAACTCCATCGCAGCCGGACAGGCGAGCTTAGAACCAGCCTATGATAAAACAACATGGGTTGCGACACAATCAGTGTGAGTAATCACACACAATACCACAACGACACATCCAACATTGATGTCCAGTATTGCATACTTCGATAGCACAAGTTGAGCTCAAGCTTTCACAAACGGCTTCCTGGAGTCGACAATTCGCTCAATTGTACTCTCGAAATGAATACACAGGACTTGTACCTCCGAATCCCCTGCTTTTAATAAATGAGAGTAGCATGCTCAAGCAAAGCTCAACGGAATTATATCAATAAATAGAACTTACGCTGCACTTGTTGATCAGATTCACGCAGCCGTCGACGGCACCTTCCATCGCGTAGTAGCCCATCTTGCCAACCACCTATACGTTGGGAAGTACGAATCAAATGATATGAGAGCTGGTGAAATATATTACTGACCTGGTGTAACAAGTGAGTAGAGTCAATACGTGCACAAAAAATGCGCACCATAAAGGATAGTATTCAAAAGTGTGCAAGTAGCCATAGCTGGTCCACGACTGCTGGAAATAGATCTCCCACAGGTATTGTCGTTTGAGCCAAAACTGAGCGAGGTAGCTACTCGGTGCCTACGGACAATAAACCACACACCGGATAGATAAACAAAAGTATACGGCACCTACGTATGAGATGGCGCGAGCAAATAATATACCGCACTACGGACACAGACTTACTGGGTGATACTTGTTCTTCAGCGCGTACTCGGGGTACTGGGCGTACTGAATAGCAGGGTTAGTCAAACCGTTTCCAATACCAACACCTCTTAGATTGATCTTGACGTCGCCGTCCTTCTTGGCCTTGTTATTCACCTGAATACGGGCAGCCATGGCGGGGACATAGTGACCACCGTAACTAGTTTGAAAATGGGAAACCGTGCAGATGTATTGTGAGAAGTACATTTTGAAAAATGCGGAAGCATTAATAAAGGGTTCTCGCCTTAATACTTCCCCCTACAGTCGATATCGCATTGCGGCCAAATAGTTTTACAAAAAACCCCGAATACAAATCACAGACATCTGAAATGTAAACTACAACACTAGCCGATGTCCACTGATGTCAGCAAGAGGTGTATATATGAGATTACCTATCAACCTAACAAGTACCTTTCACCGAAGAGATAGAATTTGTTCTTCTGAAGATGCGGGTTGGCTTTGAAGAACGCCTCTGTCGAATACGCATATGTAATTGAGAGAAAGATGAGAATAAGATGTGGTTGGTTGGGACGTGTGAGACATGACATTCAAACCTCGATTGTGCAGCAATATCGTACACTTGCAAGCGACCACATTACACTAACACAGTGAACTGATGGTCTCACAGGTTGCTGAAAATGAATATCACGAGAAAATATCGTTCAACGTACCCAAGAAGCGATACATTTGCGGGGCTGTGTCCCATTCGCCAGTGTCAGTTAGGCTACCAGTGGAGAAGCCTACGCCAGCAGGCTGATCGATATAGATGATGCTGGCTTGCTGTAAAGGTCAAAGATACGATACACGATAATTACCGACATTGCAAACTGGCACAATGGTAAAACAATCTCGGAATCATTCGGAAGATGTATCTCCCGACTGGATTTGAAAGGGGGAGATAGGTTTTTCTGTTTCTGTTTGACATCTGATACTCGGACATTGGATACCAAAGGCTCCTGAAAATTAACTTATACCTTGTTCCATCCGTAGGGATTGGGGTACGTCTTAAGATGATCGTCATCTCGCAGATGGCAAGGTCCATTCTCCTTCAAAAGAGCGAGCTATTCGAAGGTCAAAACGTTGAATAGGATTGTAAGAATAAAATTGTCAATACAGTGATCTACAATTTATTCTCAATGAAAACCCCCGACAAACTAACTCCCAGTTGCGCAATCACCTTTACAAGTACTCGTGGACCAATAGCTTAATATTCATGTTTGAATGTACGTTCGTTTTTATGTGCATGTCTACAAAAATCTCTGCTAGCTTAATATTCATGTTTGTATGTATGTTCGTATTTATGTGCTTGTCTACAAAAATCTCTGCTAGCTTAATATTCATGTTTGTATGTATGTTCGTATTTATGTGCATGTCTATAAACATCTCTTCTAGCTTAACATTCATATTTGTATTTATGTTCGTATTTACGTTTGTATGCATATTCGTATTGATGTGAATGTCTACAAAAATCTCTGCTGCTCACATCGTCCGACTGAGCGCAATTGGTTTGACTACTTCAGCATCAGCATCGATATAGTTCTGTACACCTATACGTATGTAACCTACGCATGCAAAAGGATTAGTCTAGTCACGTCCATGAGAAGACAAAAGCAAGAATGTACGAAGTCATAAGTTTTTTGTAATTACCTGACTGGAACATCCGGGTCCGCCTGTCAGCCTTGAACAGTGAAAAGAGACAAAATAGACCATAAATCCAACGTCAGTAGTGGCAGACATAGTACCATATCGCATGTCTAACTTGGAGACTTTAAACCCCTTCGGCACGATTGGATATAGGATCATTTGCTTCATGATGATTGATGAGTTTTTTATAGTTGGTTGTAAAAGTAAACGATTAACTTATAGTTGGTTATGATAATTGTGGAACACTCGATGAAAAGGTTTGCGTGAACTATAACACAGAAACATACCAGAGGATTAGTGGATCGTTGTCCGGATCATTTCGAGACTCAAAGGCCCTGCAAAAAAGGAAAGCATCAGTATGAGTCCTGCATCATGATACATCCACTCGGCACAGAGCAGTGAACGATAAATATACATGTATACTCAATTCTAGGTCGACACCCAACAGAATCCGTCGCTCTGTTATTTTACTTCAACGTTCATAGTGCTACACAGAGGTCGAAACAAAGTGACGTACTTGAACCTAGACACAACTCGTGAAACCCAACCCGAGGCTCAGTAAGTTGTGTACTACTACATGCCAGCATCGACCCTTCGGAGTCATTCTGATACGAAGCGGCTCACATATTGTACGCTAACCGTGTTTACAAAATAACAGTCTGTAACATTGATCGATAATTGAAATTTTAAATTTGGTTTATAGCATACCAGTAGAAGTACTTCATGTCACCACCAGCGCCGAAGTACTGCGAGCAATGGGTATCAATAGCAATGGGTGTCAGCTTATATCTAAAAGATCAGTTCGAATGTTTGTCGGTGTCATAGTATATATGAGTCTATAATTGTTGCATACCAGACCGTAGTTATATCAGTAATCATGGTAGTCATATGCACCTGCACGCGCACGCAAAATCGAGTTAAATAAATGCGTCCGTAGATTACTGCAGTTATGAGTATTTGCAGCGAATATTTAACACAATACAAGCAAATTACACAAGACAAGCAAACTACATACTCCAGCCACGGAATGCACATCATCGCAGAAGCCCTTTGGGACGTCACCGCCCTTTGATTCGTTGCCAGCATTCAAGTCATTCTCATCAGCCTCGATGCTGATTGCCTGATAACAGATGATGCAAAAGGTAATATATCGGAAGTCGAAAACTTAGATAAATCCCACTCCGTTGTTTTACGTCTAAAAGAGTGTGCCATGTACGTGTCAGGTTATCGTTGTGCATCTCCTAGCAGTAACCTTAAAGGAAATTGCAAGTGTACGCTCAAAAATCTTTCGCCGGTCTACAGGTATTTAGCAATTGGAATTTGACCAGAATATGCACCTCACATATATAATCGTAACCAAAATGTGTACCTCGCATGTATAATCGGCCGTGCCGTACAATACACCAAAAAATTAAAACCAATCAGGTGTGATACGTTTTTACACCTGAGGTAACAAAAGATACTCAAATAATAACCTCACAAGTAGAAGCAATCTGTGCATCGGTGAACTTTATGAGACGGATTGCAAATTAGCCGTTTAATACATATACACACAGAAACCCAATGTACCAGAAAAGAAAGCGAAACACTACTGCGATATAAAGTTCACTAAATCAGACCGCATGGCAATGCAAAATCCGGAATAACAGCATTCTATTGTCCTTGGCATATGCAGCTAACATTTATCGTGAATGCTATATACGAGCTGGCGAGTGATAAGGCATCGGTAGGCCGCTGTCTAAAATTCTTGCTATATTCGCAGGTGAACGAACGTGTCCAAACAGTATCTATGATGACTATATGCCGCTTCCAAAGAAGTGAGTCATATACAACTAATGATGACAATGTGATGTAAATACGAATCAGAACTAACACCTATCTCTTTTTGGGGGGTTCATCACAAACTCTGCACACATAAACCGATTGAACACTCAGGTAAGGATGCGTACCTGCATTCTTGGCCTAGTCTTCGGTTCGGTGGCCGCGGCAGCAGCCGCTACCAACGCGCTCACGATTACGCACGCTACCTTCATTCTAAAATATCACTATATGAGACAGAACCAAAGAAATACATGATAAGAACGTATTAGGGAGGAAGAATGATAAATATTTGGAAAGCAATATGTTAAACAACAATTACATTAAGTATTGAGTGCCTCCAGCATACTATATTATATCGAATATTTAATTTATGCATATCCAGGATAAATGAAATATTGACATTGAGGCGGACCATGGAAGCATCGCGCATAACGTTGCCATCGTAATAGTTTCCTGGAAGAAGTTATGATATTTAACAATGGCTAGGATTCGGCAGACAAGATATATGAAGTCCACCACTTTGTTTGGAAACTGTAAACATATATGTGCAAAAATGGTGACCGGCGAAAGCGTGTTAAAATGTCTGATTTAGAAGGCAATGGTTAAAAACAATCAATTTTTGAGTGCACACAGACTAATTGCATCGCTTTTAAGACGCGTCATTGATATGACATAATTTAACGACAATGAACTTCTCAAAGGCACATATAAAAATCACGATGCGTTAGACAGGCGCATATATTCTGTGAGAATCAAGTACAGTAAGATAATATTCAGCACATGACATAGTTGTATATGAAGTTCGCGTGCTTGGCATGCCATCGACATGCGCTACTACTTCATTGTACCCAGCTATGTTAGTAGATTATATCACAAACCTTAGATGAGCTTGTCAACTAGGAATAGATTTGCTGCGTCGATGCAACGTAGTCTTATAGTAGTATTGTAGTAGTAGTAGAAGCAAAATTATCAAAGGCATTTCGTTCACAATACCTACTATAAATAGTTCTTGTCTATTTATGCCCAGGTGATAGGCCAACTCACAAGTCACAACACTGACAGACTGTACTCCATCATGAGATGACACTGATGATGGCACAAATATTTATATGTAAACATTCCGCTCAGTATTTGTTCACCCTGTACTTATTTTTAACTATTTATCGATTTATGATTCGTCCAAAGCTGGAACCCGGAGTACGGGGTATGCTCTTTTTTTTTAGACAACAAATGAATCAAGGTTTCAGCAGGGTTATAGGGTTTTCCAAGGAAGTCTCAGACCCAGGCCTACTTTCAGACTCAGACTCGCTCTCTCTCTCTCTCCCCCGACCCGACG